AGAGGAAAAGAGCAGGGATCCTTAAAGGATATACCAGGGCCTCTAAGCCTGGGGCAGCAGGAGGGAGGTGTTTTTTGTTTTTCTTTAAATCAAGATGGCTGCTACAATCTCCTACATGGAAAGGGCATGGAAGGAAAGTAGAACCAAGTGAAGAAATAGCTGTATCAACTGTTCCTCCCTTGCCATTCCTGAATTAGCTGTTGCCTCAAAAACAACAGCAGTTGCTGGTAATGGAGCCATTGGAACAGGAGCATCCACGGGGGGGGGGAGCTCCAAAATTCAAGATGGCATCCACGATCGAAGTCCAACCTCTTTTATGAATGCATGTGGCATAATCTTGACCTTTTTCAAAGACAATTATGAGACAGTTGCAAAAGTGAGATGATGGTGCCTGGGACTAAACAGACTCTCAGATACATGTATATACACAATATACATTACATCTTAAAGTGTGTTTTAAAAAAAACCCACAGAAATATCATTCAATTTGAAGGTGAAATATTTCACACCCTTCAAACAGCAGCATAATCTAGACTTTGGAAACCAGGTGGTCTACCAGTATCTTTTGTTTAGGAATGATATTTAAATTATAAGGGAGTATTGAGATGAAGAGAATTTAGCAATGAAACATAGGGGGTTGGAGGAACAAGCACCATCAGTTCATATTTGTTGTCTCTACTACTATGACTGGACCATTAACTCCAATTCCACTACTTTGAAGCTTAGAAAGCTCTTCAAAAACAAATCCCATACTAGGTGATGCAGTACTGTCACCCCATTCCTCTTGGGGGAATTGCATGTAATGGACATGGAATTACAGCTTTGAGAAAACGGGATATGACTCATCCTCAAAATGTTTGACAGATTCCATTTTACCCAATAGATGGGCTCAAAGGACTGGAAAACAGAAAGCTATCAAGGAATTTTCCTCTAACCTCTGCATACCATAAACTCAAGTGCCCTCCCATTTTTCCCCCAAAGAAATTAACCTATCTGTATTCTAAACTTGAACAGAAAAAAGGAAAGACATTGATGCATCTCTGAATCCACCACAACATTAGAACTTCTGAATCTGGATGAAAAAGCCAATCAGTTTTAGATGATTCCTAGTATTATTGAAAAAGCCAATCAGTTTTAGATGATTCCTAGTATTATTCCTGGGAAATAAAGTCTGCCACACTCGTTCTGCCATACTTTAAATGAAGTCACCACTGGTTCACGTGTTGAATTAAAAGTCATAAACCATAGCTTACAAACTCCAGCGACTGAGTTCCCACATGTTGCCAAGCAAGAGTAAACAAGCCACATTATAAGTAGGGCAAGATGTGTAACAGACCAGATTTGTGAGTCTTATCACTATATATCTCTGGCTTTAAATTTTTTAAAAAAAATTGAAAGTACCTAAAATGTTGGAATAAGCTTACCCATCCTCAATAAATAAGTATTCTGTATACAATTCCTATTAGTGATATTTGTTCTTTTTTATTTTACTTCTTTTTAAGTTAGGGAAAATGAGGAGGGTCCCCAATAGAGACCCCCTTGCTTTTGCAGTGTGTTCCTGTCCTTCCCTCTCTTTCTGTCTCTGTCTCTCCCTTTTAAAAGCGAAAGAAAGAAAATCCAAATTCCTCATTTGTTGAGCTTGAAATCCTCTGCACATTCCCACAAACTATTTCCTTTTCTCTTCCTTCCTCCCCCCCATCCTCAGGCTCCCTCCCTCCCTCACTCTTCTTTTAATGAAGAGAAGTTCAGAAAGGGGTTTTCTCTCTCTCTCTCTCTCTCTCCTCCCCCCTCCCTCCCCATGAATAGATGGTCGGCACCTGGGAGTTATGAATTTTAAAGTGATCATTTTCTTTCAGCCCATCCGGGACAATGGGGATCTCCTTTTGACTCAGTTTCACAGCTTTGAGAGGCTCTCAGATCAGCCACATTCCAATCAGATTGGAGTCAGATCAGAGCCGCCTTCGACCGCATCAAGGTCTCTCACAGAAAGACAAGGAGCAGATGGCCAACACCAACCTCGCCTCCTCTTTTCAGACGGGAAGGGAAGGCAATGTGGGAAAAGCGTTCCCCCAGCATTGCCTATTGAGGGCTGAATAGGACCACCACAGGCCACCAGCCTGTAGGTATGAACCTCTGTTAACAGATGGTGAGATCATTATGAGCAATTAATTCCTTTAATGTATCAGTGGGAACATGCTGGAAAGGATGAGGCAGGCAGGGAGTGAATAGTGAGTGCCTCACTCCTCCGGGAGATTGGCCGGCCCAACAGCTAAAGGATGGGAATTGGCTTTCAGGGCCTCTGATGTCCCCACTGAGAACCACTGGGAGCTCTTGGGAATGCAGGGCCAAACCATGGCTTTTCATTACCTAATAGGTCCTTACTAGGTTGATTTGCATGATTAATCACAGTTTTACAGAGAGAGATGGGGGGAGGGGGGAGGGAGAGGGAGGGAGAGAGAGAGAGAGAGAGTTCCTTGAGGTCATTTTTACTGACACAAACCATTCAAAAGCTGGGTTTTAAAAAAAAGAAAAGTAAAAAGTTACCAATCTGCAGCAAGGTTATAAAGAGAGAACTCAAACAAAAACTGATGTTCTCAATTTAAAATGAAAGCAGAGGGGAAGATCCTGAATTATCTGTGTATCCCTGGCTAGCTTTAAAATGTGTCAGTGTTGTTTAGATTCAACCAGCTCCATTCAGCTACAGCACGCTCTACCACAATCTAGTGTCATTTTTAATTATTATGTGCCATCAAGTCATCGTTGACTCTTAGCAACTAGGTAGATAGATGTCTTCTATGACATTGTCCCTAACCTAGTTCTTCAGCTTTTCCATCAATAATGCCACTGCATCTGAGTCCATCCACCTGGCTGTTGGTCCATCCACTTTTTCTCCATCGTAATGACATTAGCTGCTAGGTATTATATATAGGAGCAAAGTAAAGCCAGAATCCTACTCAACAAACTTTGTGAATAAGCCCACAAATGGTGCTAGAGAATGGATGCTAGGAATGGAGGCCGAGCTTCCTTTTTCTGTCAGATATCTGAGTGCAGAAGAGGACAGCATACACCCTTCCTACCTGCTAGCCTTTTGACTTAATTGCATGCACTTCCATCCATGCAGCAAGCCTACCCCAAATATTTGGGTCAACTTATTAATTATAGCTCAAGTAAATTATCCATGCAGCATCAACACTGCCCAAATAGCATCCAGTTAAATTTATTCTCTGCAACTGAAAAAAATACAGTTTCCAAGCAAGGGGAAGACATTTCATCTGTGTGATCTGCTGCATCCTAAATATTCAGATGTGGGTTTAGTCCACCTAGTTCTCCATGCAAGTCTTCTTTGTCCTTTGTCACTGGCTCTGCTGGCCAGGACTGGGTCACCAGGAGATATTCTGGCCAGCTCTTTCCATCTTTTGCTCAGGAACTTTACAAGATTGTCTCTTTCTTTGGTTCGCTTACATTTCAACTTGGATAACCTTTACTTTAACTCATGTACTTGCCTTTACTTTAACTCATGTGTGTGTGTGTGTGTGTGGTTTCTAGCCTATAAAACTTTTTGAACATCAACTGAATTGTTGTGGTTATGTCCTGATTGTGGCTTCCCCCAAAATCCAGTTTTTCATTTTTGCTACACTTTCTTTATTTCACTTTTGAAATCCGGGGCTACAGTTGATAGCTCTTTCGTATGATCTAGCAAGCTGCTTTTTAAATCCTTTTAGTTTTAAATCCTTCTTGAAATATAAGTATTTACTCAGGGAATGGCTAGTGAAATTATAACACCAGTTTGCTGCTGAGCTTTAAAGCACTGGGAAGTAACGTGCTGGAAATGCCACAATTCATATTAAAATGACACACGTTTTTTTTTCTTTTTTAGCCTATAATTAGTTATTTCAGTTGTGTTCTATTCCTAAAATTTACATAATTCTACAATAGGTTACATAAGTAACAGCAAATGATTGTTAACCTTGAAATCTGTTATCTCAATTGAGTAAATCTGGCTTTAATTCAAAAAACTTAAAACAGAATGCAAAAAAAATAATTTCTGCTGCAGCTGAATAGGTGGGGAAGGGGGGTTGTTTGTTAAGATTTTTTGTTGTTTGTTTGTTTTTCTTTTCTTTTTCTTCCCATTGTGGAGATGAGGGAACATTTCTACACAGCTAGGAAGGCCCTGATACACATTTGCTGTTTTCTTCTCATTCTTTGCACTTTGAATTCCTGCCACATTCTGGAAAGCCTTGATAAGAATATCAGCATGTGGAATCCAAATGTCTAACTTGCTGGCGATATCTCTTCCCTTTTATCCTCCACCTTCCCATGTTGCTCAGCCCCTTTTGAATTTTCCATCCCCCATTCCAACATGTTATAACACACCAGCTACACAATTTCCAAAGGCTCTGCAGATATTTGTATTAAGGGAGGGGTGGGGAGAAAATTGCAGATTTTTGCAGAGAAGCAAATAGACAAATTCCACTGCCCTCTTATTGAAAAGAATTACAGATAAATCCTCTTCCAGAATAGAACACATTACAAAGGAATCGGGTGAAATCTACGCCTTCTGGCACCATCAAATTGTCGTCAGACCTGCTTGTGACACCAAAGGAAAATTATGGGGATGTCCACGTTATTTTTCTTTCAAACAGACACCGACATTCTTGAGTTTGGTTCCCAAGACTGACATGGGGGAATGCAGGTGTCCTCATACAATTCATCTTTGGCTATTCCTGAAGACTGACATTGTTAACCACTTCCCGCACACCCTACCTTAGGAAGTCACAGTTGTGGGCATGTTTGGCTGTACTTTAGAAAAAAAGAAAGAGAAAAGGCAGTGATTACTTGGCTGTTGGAGAACACAAAGAGAACGGGAGGGGGAGCTGCAATTTCTGCTTCGCTCACAATGTACACCATTGTGTTGAAGCAATATAAACGGTAGGGGCTCAGCACTAACCCATATCACTGGAAAAGAAGAATTCACACTGTGAATTACCATTTTTTCCCAGCATCTCACCCTCGTCCAGGACAGCACAATAATAAACTAGACACTCCTTTGTCTGTAAAAACATTGTCCTTCGTTACAACATGAAAAGCATGTAGGCTTTCTATAGAGGCACTGCCGCTGCCAGAGGAGGCGTGGAAGGATGGAGGAATCATTCTGGATCATCAGTTCACCTGACAGCAAGATAGCCAGGTACCAATCTACTCCTTAGCAGTCTATTTGATGCCAGTCCTGTTAAGTTAGGCTCTGTCAGGTTCAGAAGTTCAGGAGAAACCCAGATTTGGAAGAGACCGCAGGGAAGATGATCCAATTGCCACCCACAAAAGGCTCACAAATCACCTGTGTGTGCGCTATCTGGATAAAATGGAGCAAATCAGCAGGATTATCCTACTAAGAGGATTGATTTTGGTAAGCGCAGGCCATTCAGGCTGGCAATTTAGAATGTAAATGAAAGAATCATATTTTTGTCTGATAGAAACGGCTAATCAATCACAATTCAGAATTTCTATTTGTCTAGCCTTGCTTTTCTTCGCTATTGTTCAAAGCAAGGTTGAAGGTGTGCTGTCTCTCCAGAACTGTTGTTTGTGATTCCACCATCCTTTCACTTCATTCTTCCTAAACACTTAAAGCTGAAAATCCCCAAACCTGAAAGAATGAAGGGGAAAAAAATAAAATCAGCAAAAATCAAGATGAGCAGTTCCCCCTCTTTTGGCCAATTTTTCATTTTGGATGCAAATTCAGTTTTTCTTCACTGCTTACCTCCTCTGTAGCCTGAACATCCTTTTCTTACCCCACTTTCCTTTCAGAGGCACTTTAAATGCACTTTTCCCAGTATGTGTACAGGTTGTCCTCGACTTACGACTGCAGTCGAGCCCAACATTTCTGTCGCTCAGCAAGGCAGTTGTTATGTACGTTTTGCCCCATTTTACCTTTCTTGCCAACGTTTTAAGCGAATCACTGCATTTGTTAAGGTAGTAACACCATTGTTAAGTGAATCTGGCTTCCCCCATTGACTTTGCTTGTCAGAAGTTGCAAAAGGTGATCATGTCACCTTGGGTGACTGCAACCGTCATAAATACGAACCACTTGCGACACGGCCGAACATGGATCATGTGACCATGGGGATGCTGCAACAATTGTAAATGTGAAAAACGATCATAAGTCACTTTTTTCCCCCAATGCTGTTGTAGCTTTGAAAAGTCACTAAACAAATGGTTGTAAGTCGAGGACTATCTGTACTTAATGCCTGTATTTTTCAAATACAAAGTATGCAACTTCATCATGTGGAACTAAAGCGTTGGTGCTCTAAAACCATGTTTTTCAAACAAGTTTGAGCTTCGAGGCCACAGGGGGTTACAGGAACATGGTAAGAAAGACAGGACTAGAAGTTCACATTTGCCTCCTTCCCCCAAAACTGAACATTTTACAAGGAAATGTTCTGCTTTTCCATGTGAAAGAATGTAAAAAGTCACTCAGTCTTCTGATAAGTGTAGGATTCGTAATGCATTACGAATCCTATACTTAACAGAGTTGGAAGGGATCTTGTAGGTCATCTAGTCCAACCCACAGCCCAAGCAGGAGATCCTACACCATTTCTGACAGATGGCAATCCAGTCTCTCCTTGAAAGCTTCCAGTGATGAAGCTCCCACAACTTCTGAAGGCAAACTGTGCCATTGGTTGATTGCTTTCACTGTCAGAAAAATTCTCCTTATTTCCAGGTTGTATCTCTCCTTGATCAGTTTCCATCCATTGTTCCTTTTCTGGCCTTCAGGTGCTTTAGAAAATAGCTTGACCCCCCCCCTGTGGTAGCCCTCAAATATTGGAATACTGCTATCATGTCTCCCCTGGTCTTTCTCTTCACTAGACTTAGTCCGAGGGAGACCACTGTGCCACAGATTGCCGGATGTGAATCCCTCTTTGTGAGATGGGGTCATGGGGTTCAGATGGGCTTATTGCTTGCATACTTGGCTCCCTGCCGCGCGGCAACGGCCCTGCCCGAGCTCCTCAACGTGATAGCCATGGTGGCAGTTGATACACCCAGGCTTATGGTCATGGGTGATTTCAACTTGCCGTCCATCGGTGAAACGTCTGAGACGGCTCAGGAGTTCATGGCTTCCATGACGGCCATGGACCTGACCCAACTAGTTCATGGCCCCACCCACAGGGGGGGATACACTCTGGACTTGATTTTTGTCTCTGGCCAGTGGTTGAGTGATCTTATTATAGGGGATATAGACATGGAACCCTTGTCATGGTCAGATCACTCGCTCCTTTGCCTGGACCTTCGAACCGCCACACCCCGCCGCAGGGAGGCGGAGCCAATAAGATGGGTCCGCCCCAGGCGCCTGATGGATCCTGATAGGTTCCAGATGGAGCTTGGGCCATTTCCTGAGGATCTAGCACATGTCTCGGCTGAGGACCTGGTAGCCGCCTGGGATCGGGCGGCTGGTGGGGCCTTGGACCGAGTCGTGCCTTTGCGGCCTCTGACCCGGTGCCGATCCCACGCAGCTCCTTGGTTTACTGAGGAGCTGAGGGAAATGAAGCGCCGGAAAAGACGCCTGGAGAGCGGTTGGAGGGCCAGTCTCGCTGAATCTGATCGAACACTGGTAAGGTCGCATATTAAGACCTACCTAGTGACGATAAAGATGGCAAAGTTTAATTACTTTTCCGCCTCTATTGCGTCATCAGGGAATCGTCTGGCCACCCTGTTTAGGGTGACCCGCTCCCTGCTCCATCCGGGAGTGCGGGAGGATCCCCTGGAAGGCAGGGCGGAGGATTTCGGACAATACCTGTATGACAAAATCACTCAGATCCGGGGGGATTTGGACTCTGGCTGGGTAGATCAGGGCAGGGTGACGAGGAATAGTCTTGAGAATGTTATCTGGGAGGAGTTTGATGCTGTGACTCCCGATGATGTGGACAGGATTTTGGGGAGACTTAGTACGGCCACATGTTTACTGGACCCGTGTCCCTCCTGGTTGGTACTGGCTTCCCGGGAGGTTACACGAGGCTGGCTCCAGGGTGTTATCAACGCTTCGTTGAGTGAGGGTTACTTCCCCGCTGCCTTGAAAGAGGCAGTGGTGAGGCCTCTCCTCAAGAAGCCATCCCTGGATCCGGCAATATTGGCCAACTATCGTCCTGTCTCCAACCTTCACTTCATGGCGAAGGTTGTTGAGAGTGTGGTCGCGTGACAGTTTCCACAATTCCTGGAGGAAACATCTTATCTAGATCCGTTCCAGTCGGGTTTCAGGTCTGGGCACAGCACGGAAACGGCATTGGTCGCGTTGGTTGATGATCTCTGGAGGGCTTGGGACAGGGGTTGCTCCTCTGTTCTGGTCCTGTTAGACCTCTCAGCAGCTTTTGATACCATCGACCATGGTATCATGCTGCACCGGCTGGAAGAGTTGGGGGTGGGAGGCACCGTATTGCGGTGGTTCTCCTCCTTTCTCTCCGACCGGTCACAGTTTGTGTTGGCAGGGGGGCAGAGGTCGACCTCGAGGCCTCTCGTCTGTGGAGTGCCGCAGGGATTGGTCCTCTCGCCCCTTCTGTTCAACATTTATGTGAAGCCGCTGGGCGAGATCATCCGTGAGATACCATCAGTACGCTGATGACACCCAGCTGTACATCTCCACCCCAGGCCACCCCAACGATGCCCTTGAAGTGATGTCTCAGTGCCTGGAGGCTGTGCGGATCTGGATGGGGAGGAACAGGCTCAAGCTCAACCCTTCCAAGACTGAGTGGCTGTGGCTCCCGGCATCCCAATATAGTCAGTTGACTCCATCACTGACTATTGGGGGCGAGTCCTTGGCCCCCACAGAAAGGGCTCGCAATCTGGGAGTCCTCCTGGATATGCAGCTGTCCTTGGAGGAACATCTGACGGCTGTAACCAGGGGGACCTTTTATCAGGTTCGCCTGATTCGCCAGTTGCAGCCCTTTCTTGATCGGGATTCCCTGTGCACAGTCACTCACGCCCTCATCACCTCTCGCCTTGACTACTGCAATGCTCTCTACATGGGGCTCCCCTTGAGGGGCACCCGGAGGCTCCAGCTGGTCCAGAACGCAGCAGCGCGGGTAGTGATGGGAGCAGCATGGCGCTCCCATGTAACACCGCTCCTGCGCGAGCTGCACTGGCTCCCGGTGGTCTTCCGGGTGCGCTTCAAGGTGTTGGTTATCACCTTTAAAGCGCTCCATGGCATAGGGCCTAGCTATCTTCGAGACCCCCTGCTGCTACCAACGACCTCCCAGCGACCCGTGCGCTCCCACAGAGAGGGCCTCCTCAGGGTGCCATCAGCCAAACAATGTAGGCTGGTGACCCCCAGGGGGAGAGCCTTCTCTGTGGGGGCACCTACCCTCTGGAATCAGCTGCCCCCAGAGATAAGGAGAATCCAAGACCTCAGTGCCTTCCGCCGTGCCCTTAAAACCCACTTTTTCCAGCAAGCCGGGCTGGCTTAGGAAGAAATTTTTTTAAAATTTTTAAATGTTTAATTGGTTTGTGGTTTTTTAAATTTTGGGCCAAATTTATATAGATTTTAATTGTTTTTAATATTTGTATTTCATGTTTTTAATTCTAGCTGTGCACCGCCCTGAGTCCTCAGGGAGAAGGGCGGTATATAAATTGAAAAATAATAAAATAATAAATAAAATAGACTAGCCATGCCCAGTTCCTGCAACTGTTCATCATATGTTTTAGCCTCCAGTCCTTTAATCATCTTGGTTGCTCTTTTCTGCACTTTTTCTAGACTTATCAGAAGGCTAAGAGAGTTATTTTATTCTTTCACATGGAAAGGCAGAACGTTTCTCTATCCCGCTGTTTGCTGCCTAAATTTGGCCAAGGTAAAATGTTCTGGGTCTCAGAAAAAAGTAAATGGAGGCTCTATGCAGCACGAGATGCCAATAGTCTTGTCTATTCCAACTCATTTTACTACATTTTCCCTAATATACATTTTGAGGGCATTTTTTGAGATGTGAAACACTGCAAAATTCTGTGAGTGAATTCTGAAATGCATGTGTGATTTTGTTCCTTCTATATTTATTCCAAAATTGGAATAAAAAAAAATATTGTGCAGCAAACTTTCCCTCTAACATATTTTTCTCCTTTCCAAGCTATCTTATAGTTTACATTAAATTAGTCAAACGTCCACAGGTATTGTTTATAAATGGCAATAGGTCTAGAAATAATACTAGTGAATTATTTCCCTACCTCAATTTTCCAAGTAACGCAGAAGACTCAAAAATCACTTGCTCTTTTCCAACTGCAAAGATTTTTGGTGTTTTTTAAATAATCCTTAGGAAAATTTGGTTTATACTTTGTAGAGAATCTGAGTATGAAGTTTAGAACAGTATATCAATGCTTTGCTGTCTGTTCTTTTTTTTCCATGCACTGGTTTTCCTTCCTTTTCTTTTTAATTAGGAAGCTGTTTTATTTACCAAGAGCTGTGGCTAATTAAGGTAAAAGTGATAGTCTTGTTGTCATTGTCAAAGTCAATGACCCAATGCATTAGTAATTAAAGTACATTTAAAGTTAGGTTGATTGAAAAGTCCTCCAAAAACATGCTGCGTTCACTTTTTCAGGCCCTTTTGTTCCTTAATGGTAAATTCAGTACAGGTAGTCTTTGGACTTATGACCATTCAGCCAAAATTTATGTTGTTAAGTGAGATATTCATTACATGAGTTTTGCCCCATTTTACAACGTTCCTAGCCTTAGTTGTTAAGTGAACCACTGCAGTTGATCGGTTAGGAACAAGGTTGTGGAGTGAATCAGGCTTCCCCATTGACTTTGCTTGTCAGAAGAGTGCAATAGGGGATCGCGTGATCTTGGGACACAGCAATGGTCATAAATATGAACCAGTTGCCAAGCATCTGAATTTTGATCACATGACAATGGGGATGTTGCAAAGGTCGTAACTGGGAAACACTCATAAGTCACTTTTTCCAGTGCCGTTGTAACTTTGAATGGTCACTAAACGAACTGTTGTAAGTTGACGACTACCTGTATAAGAAACTCTTCATGGAATCTCTTTGTGGATTCTTCGTGGATTAGTTATTCCTTTGTTATTCTTTTCTTCACCAAACTTTATGGCTAGAAAGGTGGTGTTGCTTTTGTTTATCTACAGTACATTACAAATAATGCAAAACAAAGCTAAGAGAGGAAGGAAGGGGGGGAGGGAGGGAGGGAGGGAGGGAGGGAGAGAAGGAAGGAAGGAAGGAAGGAAGGAAGGAAGGAAGGAAGGAAGGAAGGAAGGTGGGTGTATGAAAAAATGCAGAGTTGAATTCAGTTTTACTCATACTTCAGTGTTGTTGGTTCCAATGCAATTACTTTAAATATGTCTTGAACTATCCAAATGTGTTTCCTACCACATTTCCTCATTTACCTTTCAGGAAATGATAAAATCTGTTTGTCTCCATCAACCCATTTGATCTGAGATGTGTTTCACATTACTTCATGGATGAGAAGATGCCTCATTTCCTACTTTGATCAGGGATATAAACATTTCTCTTTCTTCCTGAATTCTACCTTGCTTGAAGTCACTGTTCCATGGGGGTGTGGGGAGGAGCAAGTAGATGGACAATGAACTATGAATCCCGAGTCTAAGGTTTTTAATCAAACATCTTAAATATTAAGTTCATTCAAACTGAGGAAGGGAATTAAAATTATTGAAGGACTTCTGTATAATGCTGAAGATAAAAATGGATTGGTGTACTAACAGTTATTTTTGAGACATATAATCCCAGCTAAGAATATTTTGGATTCTACATAGCTTAATGTTCTATGAATTATCCTTTTGTGTAGAATATTGAAATGGCAAACGTGAGGCAAAACTACCCTCGCTTAATACAGATTAAGATTATGTATATATTTGTATGAATAAATAAAGTTACTCCCTGTTAATAGACACATAAATGTACACACACTTTTCCTTCCATATGCAAGCCTTACCTACCTTTTGTGAAGGATACTATTTGTAAAGAATTACTTGTCTATAAAAACAACTGCTCTTTCTCAAAGTTTGCTCACGTTTGACAGATGAGTTCATAAAATTTGTACAGCATTCATAAACTTTGTACACAAAAATCCCAGAGAGATTTTTGAGACAGGCAGCCATATAAAAGTGATAAATAAATAACTAAAATAAACTTTCATGTGATACACGAGCATCAGATTTGCATGTATCACAGACTTTTAGAAGTCTAAACATGTCTTCTAGTTTGCAATGTGTATGCTAGTAAAAGAGTAGTGGCCATTGACAGCAGAAGTAAATCTATTACTCCTTGTTTGGAGTGAAACTTGGGGAATCTGGTCAGAAATATAAAATAGATTTTGAGTTTCTGGGAACATAGAATTTCTGATCTTTTCAGGGCAGGTATTCTGGTAAACATTATGAGAAATGAACTTTCACATCTTTGTTATAGTATAGCATAGCAGTATGTTGCTATTTACATATTTTGTTTTTCTGAAAATAGTTTTTTTAAAACTACTGCCAAAAATGGAATTGATTACGCTTTGTGTATGGAAAACAAATATATCTTCTCTAGATGTTCATGATATATAACAGAGATGGGGAACGATGGCCCTTTTATGTCTTGTGGACTTCAACTCCCAGAATTCCTGAGCCAACTTCTGGGAATTGAAGTCCATAAGTCATAAAGGGGCCATAGTTCCCACCTCTGATATATAAGAAACTTCTACAATTCCAGCTAACCAACAATTAACTTTTCTTAAGCAAGTAATTATGTTGTCAACCACCATGGGACTAATAAACAGGGGTCTCCTTGGGAATTAGATATAAACATTGGGCATATAGCAGAATGATTCCCCTTTTCTTATCTAACTTTCAACCAGAAATAATCTGAACATCTGCCATCAATGGAAAAGCACCATAACCCCATTGAAGATGGTTAGGGAAAAATAAAGAACCACTGAGACAATAAAAATGTTAATGTTTAATGTTATAAACCATCCAGAATCACTTTGCAGCGACATGAAAGGCAAAGATAGATAGATAGATAGATAGATAGATAGAAAGAAAGAAAGAAAGAAAGAAAGAAAGAAAGAAAGAAAGAAAGAAAGAAAGAAAGATTTCTTATAGGAATTAAATGGAAAAGGCAACTTAACTCATCAAAATGTTTGGCATTTTTCATTCTTCTATATGTAATAGGAAAATGCATTTTTTTGTGTGTTCTCTTCCATCTCTCACTTATTATCCCAGTCTACACACAAGCTGCCATTCACTTAATATTAGATATTAAGTGATATTAGATATTAGTGTGGGTACCACTACAGAGCAATCCCCAAGTCTGAATTCCTCTACTGTTATGGGGCGGGGGGGGGGGATGAGTTTGGCAGCATTATTCTTCTGTAACTTCATAAATTACCATTTATATCCAATTCTTTACCTTTCAGGTATCTAGTCTTCAACATGCAACAGCCTTAGCTTGCAAGGCCAGTGGCAGCTGATGGTACAGGTAGTCCTTAATTTACTATCAGTCACTTAACTACCAGTCACTTACATTTACAACAGACACCCCCCCCACCCTCCCAAAAAGGAGAAAACAGTATTCCAGTATGGTCAGAATTAACAGAGTTGGAAGGGACCTTGAAGGTCTTCTAGTCCAACCCCTTGGTCAAACAGGAGACCTTATACCATTTCAGACAAATGAGTTGTCCAATCTCTTGTTAAAAACCTCCAGTGTTGGAGCACCCACAACTTCTGACGGCAATCTGCCTGGTTTATTGTTCTCACTGTTAAAAAAAATTCTCCTTAGTTCTTGCTTTTCTCCTTGATTACTTTCCATCCATTGCTTTTTGTCCTGCCTTCAGGTGTTTAGTTGTAGATGTTCAGCTGTATGTTGCTGTAAATTGAGGAAAAACAAGTGAAAACATTACAGTATTCTTAAAGAATGGCTATCAACCACAAATGTTGCCATCCTATGTTAAAAGAAAAGTAACTATATTTGTCTTGCTATCCCATATTCTTCAATAAAATGGTGATTTCTTCTTTAATTTTAAAACCCAAACAATAGCAATGTGCCCATGGTCATTCTGTTTCTCAGTTTAGGTAAGGAAATGCAGTACATGATTTCAAATGAAAATTCAGTTTCATAGTCCAAGGAATAGAGTGTAAAACATTTCCTAACAATTTTTTTTTTTTAATTTGATTTATATGCCGCCCTTCTCCGGAGACTCAGGGCGGCTTACAATGAGTTAAGCAATAGCCTTCATTCTTTTGTATGTTTTATACAAAGTCAGCTTATTGCCCCCACAAACTGGGTCCTCATTTCACCTACCTTAGAAAGGATGGAAGGCTGAGTCAACCTTGAGCCTTGGAGAGATTCGAACTAGCAGAAATAATGGGCATCACATCTCTCATCCCAGTAAAGTCCAATAAGGAAAAAGATAAATCGCTCATTATGTTACCACAGCTTTTATTTCAAATAAAATCTGTCTAACACATAGCCTCCATGTAAATTTATTTTTTTTCCTAAGAGAATTATTGTAATTCATACCATTTTTGATATTGCAGTCTATAATCTGGAAGATTTACCCTGAAACAAACATATGGAGAGACAAACCATGGCACTGGGAAAAAAAAAACCTCTTTGCAGGCTCCCAAGAGCCCCTCTTCTCTTAAGAGAGAGGAGGCAGGAGGCAGAAATAGGCAATAGTTGAGCACTAAGATCTTGAAAATTAATGTTCAAATAAAGTCTGCAGTATCTTTATACAGATGTTTAAAATTCCAGTGGGTGGGCAAAAGACGCCAAGGGAGAAGAGCCAGGTTGCTCTTAAAACAGCAGAGTTGTTTCCAGCATTGACCAACATTTTGTAACCCTGCGTTGCTAAAGAATAAACTGGTTGAAAAGTAATTGCTGAGTCTGCAAAGCTCCATGCTTGGTTATGTAGTCAGCCTTGATCACATGACCCATTTATTTCACACAGCATGAACAACGCTTCTGGGGGAGGAAGTGGAGTTACATCAGTGGACTTGCACGTGTTGCCAATCTGTCTGAAATACCGAAAGGATTTCAACACTTGTTTTCTGGCACTGGAGACTGGAGGGCAAAAGACGATGTTCTTCTTGCAGCTGGTTCATGCCCTTTCTCACAATTTCCACCCATTCCATTCCTCCTTGTTTTTCCCACTCTCCTTCCCCACCCCCACTTTCCATTTCTGCAAATCCAGGGTTCCTATACAGAGCCTGATACGGGTAGTCCTTGACTTACGACCACAATTGAGCCCAAAATGTCCGCTGGTAAGCGAGACCGTTAAATGAGTTTTGACCTATTTTACGACCTTTCTTGCAGCGGTGAAATCTAAAATTTGTTACTACTGGTTCTGTGGGCGTGGCTTGGTGGGGGGGTTAATATGACTGGGTGGGTGTGGCCAATTTTTTTTTTTTTTACTTTTAAAACCATTTTTTCTACAACCTCTTGTAGAAGACCTTTGTAAACCTTTTTTACAAGAGGTTGTAAAAAAATGCTTTCAAAAGGCTCTGATGATCCCAGCTGAGTTGCCTGATCGGCAGAGGTTTTTTAAAAAGCCTCTGCCGATCAGGCAACTCAGCTTGGATCGTCAGAGGCATTTAAAAGAAAAAAAGGAGTTTTTTCTTTTAAAAGCTTTTGACGATCTCAGCTGAGCCGCGCGATCATCAGAGGCTTTTTTTTAATTTTATTTTTAAAAGCATTTTTTTGGCCGAAGAGGTTGTAGAAAAAATGCTTTTAAAAGTAAAAAAAAGCCTCTGGTGATTGTGCGGCTCAGCTGGGCATGTGGGAGGCGGGCAGGGATTTTTGCTACCGGTTCTCCGAATCATCCGCCTCCATCGCTACCGGATCGGGCGATCCCATCCGAACCGGGAGCATTTCACCCCTACTTTCTTGCCATAGTCTTAACTAGTTGTTCTGTGAATCGTTGCAGCTGTTACGTTAGTAACACAGTTGTTAAGTGAATCCGGCTTCCCCACTGACTTTGCTTGTCAGAAGGTCCGACAAACATCTGAATTTTGAGGACCTGATCATGGGGATACTGCAATGGACATAAGTGTGAAAAACGGTCATAAATCACTTTTTTCGGTGCTGTTGTAACTACAAACAGTCACGAAATGAACTATTGTAAGTATAGGACTGCCTTTTTCTGAAGGCCCGTGTTGGCTGGTTGCCCTCAACATTCACAACCTGATTTCCGTTAAGAAAGGGAACTTCAGTAGTTGACTTACTGGGACATGGCTAGCTGAAGCTTGAAATGATTCCTTGAGTTCAGTTGCATTGGTTCTGAGGCGTGTTGGGGCCTGTTAACATGCTGTCTTAAACCAAAGTGACTCTCCACAATCCAAGCTATGGATGGTGACAGAGAACAGAAAAACATTGCCTCCTGCTTTCAGAAGAGGGAATTCTTGTGAAATCAGGCTGGTTCTTGCAGTTTATGATCTCCACTCTAATCCAGTCACCTCTATCAAAAACAAGACTAGAAACTGCACATATCTGGAAGGCCAAAAACTGACAGCAACGTTCAAAGGT